TACTAACCATACAGGTAACAATCATTTCAGGAGAAATGAACTTTTCAAAATTTTAATTGATAAAATTTTATTTACAATCAACTATGTTACAAGAAAGAATGACTGAATTAGATATATTATCTATTGAGAAAACTTTATTGTCAATACTTGAATATAAGAATTTAGATCAATATTTTTGCATCTCAGAAGTAAGAAAAATAATTTTTAAATAAATAAAAAATTAAATTATAATAATTAAAAATAATATATATGGGTACTTTTAATTGGAAGTCACGGGTATAAAATTGGATATAAAATCATTTTTTTTCATCGTATATTTTAACCCAATCATATATTAAAACGGAAATGATGTTCTTTCAAATCTCAAAAATTGATTATTTTTATGCTGAATTTTTCATTAACTTCCTTTCGATGTCTATGAAAATTATAATTCATTTTGTTGTGAAGTATAATTAAGTGTTTCTTTTTGTTGAGATTGATTCCAGAAAGAAGTAGAACACACATTTGGATTATGGTACTTTGCCTTTAATCGTGTGTATGAGTTATTGTGTTAAATGCTATTAACTTATCAAGAAAGGATGAGGAGCAACGATACAATTGCTTTTAGACAATAGGGAGCATTGTACATTGAATCCATATTTTCAAAAAATAAAACGGGGCAAATGTATTTAATTAGATAAAGATGTGATCCTTCACATTACATGTCTAGTGGTTATCCAAAAATCAATTGCCCCCACACTAATTAAGGTAGCTCCGCCCCTGGTAAAATGATAGAGCTTATATGTTCTGTGAGATTAGTTAGACATGCCAAAACCTCAACTTGGTACGGTGGATAAGCTGTATTTCAGTTCCCATACATCTCTCTCTCATACCAATAACATAAATGAATCAACGCAGACAAGCATTTGCATACTTTATTTTGGCAAATTTAAGGTAAAAGGGCTAATGAACAAGAACTCAAACATAACCAAGTCATTCAACTTGGAGAGCCTACAAGCCTCGATGCTTACATATCTTAGGAGCAATGCTATAGCTACTAATTTAGAGATTTAATCAGAGTTTACGGTTGTTGTCATAAGCAGAAGATTTGACAATGTTTGAAAGCTGAGAAGATGAAATAAGTTTTGTAAATTCTAAGTTGTAACTGTTGATGTCTAAGTTCCCCTGATTCCATATGATACTTTTTTGAAATAAAATTGACATACCATTCTAACTGAATTAGAGTTTCAGTTCGACTTTTCTATTTTTAACAAATTCATATGTAAACAACCAAATTGAAATCCGTTGAATATATAGTTCAAAATTTTAGACTCAGATTCGATCGAAATACTATTCATTGACAGATCTAAGTCATGTTTACCTATAGGCCACCCCCACTCTGTAGGTTTGAGTTCCAGTCTTCCTCTCTCCTACCACAAGAAAGAGACACGAGTTGACTAAACTTTTTGTAGTAGTGTCCTCATCCTCAATCTTTGTCCTTCTTTTTGGAATAAAGATGGGAGTGAGGGGTAAGAAGTAAGATTCTTGCTGATTCAGAATATCTTACAAAAATAAAGTAGCTTTTTTGGGGATCCTGGTTCAAATCAGGTTTATAGGTTCGTAGATGAACTTGGTTAGCCTTTTCTGTAAGCATACGGTTAATAATGGACTCTACACTGGTCAACACTATTGTCCTGTTGCTCAAACCTTTTAATCTGGTGAATCCGAACTCAACATGGAAAGTTCTTAGTTCAGGAATTTTCGAGTTCAAATCTTCTTGATCCTTTGAAAAAAATTTCGACAGGAAAATTATTTTAAACATGCGTTGGTTAAACTTGTTACCTTTATAAAAAAATTCACGTTGTATACAATAGATCGAAATCACGTGCATCGGGTCAATCAGGACATCTTTTCTGAGATTTGTATTTGGTACCTCGAAGACATGGACTACTGTGGTCTTACTCCCGAAATTCCCTCATTAATTCATGATCCTTGAATTTTAAAGACCAAGACCGAATTTGATTTAACTTTGGGATGAAATCCCCGTTAAACTACAACTAGAATTGTTGATGAAATTGAAATAAAATTGAGAAGCAAATTACAATAGCAGATGATTTTTCCTCCTCCCATCGCTTTTCTTTATTAACGGACAAGCAGATGATTTTTCCTCCTCCCATCAGCTTTGCGGGGAGGGGTGTCAACCAATCTGAAAGACTTGGTCTCCAATTGCACCTCAAACTCATCCAATCTAATGGATTCAGTGCCCAAGTGCACTCAAACTCTTATTCCTTCTCCACGTGATGAGCATGAAGACTAGCACCAAATTTATCTTGTGCAATCCAATCTCTTTTTGAAAAGTTGTAGTCATCTTATACCAATATATACACACACACTCAATACACAACGTTTTGGTCATTGAAGAACACCAAAATTTTTATATTATTTCAGGGTGCAAATCACTCTATTTTGGAGCAAAAGTTGAAATGTCTATACCGTGCTTTAGACGTAGTGGGCAAGAGATAAGAAAAGCAAACTTTATATCATCTTCATCTAATCGAAACAACTGCATCATATTGTCACACATGAAAAGCTTATCAATCATTCAAAAGTGACTACTTCCTGATTCGATTAATTGGGTAGGAAGTCGGGTAGGAATACCACACCTGATCGAGTAGGGTAGGCTAAAAAAAAATTCTTCTACAAAATATCGGGTAGGAAGACGAAAGACTATATTTTCTGTCCGTAAGATAGGGTGAACACCCTAATGACATGAATTGGCAACATTTCAAAATCACGTGGATTTGTTTTTCTTTTTGCTTGAGCGACTGAATCACAATTTAAATAAGATATTTTTGAACGAAATGTTGAATAACTACAACGTGCTTCTTCTAATATTTTTATTTTAGTTGGGGTCAAATTTGGACATCTTATTTTTGTTGACCATGAATTGACGGATCACACTTAGATGGATGTGACTCATGAATGGACGCAATGGTTGGCGGGTTATTTTATCGTGTAAGAGGAGAAAGATTGTAGGGAGAGAAGTATAAGGGGTTTGAATAGGAACCAACACAATCGTTGAAATACTTGTGATTGTGCCAACAGCTACAATCTTTTTGGGTGCGTCTATTCATTTGAATGAGTGATTTGGGTCTATAAATACTAGTAAATGAGGGCTTTAAAGAAAGTATTAAATACGTAACTCACTTTAAGACCACCTCTAATCCTTATCATTTTTTAAACCCAATTTAAATTTAAGTAAAAAGTCTCTTAAAAACTTTTTCTAATGTTAGATTTATACCCACGTCAAATCAATAGACTTTTTTTACTCAAATCAAAAGAGATTTAAATTCATACCTGAATTTTTAATGGTGAGTTTTTACTCATCTTTAATGATCCGATGATCATATTTTATCTTTTTTAAATTTGAATTTGTCGTCATTTAAATTTGAATTTCTCAATTAGAGAAGTTTATAATAAATAAAGTTTTTAAGATTTTTTTTTTACTCAAATTGGGTATACGTCTCCATTGGAAAGGCTCTAACGATACCATGTCGTTTTCTTTCGAGATTGCATCAGCGGTCTGTTACCAACAGTTTTTAAAAATTTAGTTTGAATTCTAAAAACTCTGAGAGGGATGCAAACAATAGTTCATAAGCCATACACATCGAATTAAGACCAAATTTATCGAATTAAGATCAAATTTATTCAATTAATAATAAATTTTATCAAATAATATTTAAATTAAATCCGTGAAAAGTGATATATAAAAAGTGATCAGGTGATGTTTGTGGAAGACAAACAATAGTAAAGAAGTTAAAAATTGGTAGGACTTTGACATTGTAATTTTTATTGTAGAGAAAACTTTTTTAACTATAAAAATTAGATTATATAATCAAAATGAGTGATAATATGATCACTAATATTAATATATATTCTCGATAGTATTACAATATATTTATCATACAACGCTTTAAAATGATAAAAAAAAATCATTAAAATCAGTTGAAAATGACTGTAATTAATTTTATGTTTTGGTAAAATATCAAAATTAATTTTTTTTTGATTTTGTTTTGTTTGTATGCATTTTTGACCTTATTATGTTGAATGATTTTATTTTGTATAAAACATAATTTTATTAGATATAAATATATTATCGTAGTTATCAAAAAAAATTAAACTTTATAAAGTGCCGATCCAATGCATTTTAGACTATTAATATAACAAAAGATAATTTTGACATTTTCAAAAAATAGATTATCAATTCGTGCACTTTATCTACTATTAGATACAAAAGTTATTGTTAGGGTGTGTCATTGATTTGATAGTATAAACAAACAAAAAAAAAAGGATTCAGTAAAATTTTAGAATAAAAAAAAAATGTAATTAAATTTAAACCTAACCTAACTACCTACCGTAGATATGAATGAAATTTTCCTTATTATTAAACTTGAAAAAATAGTACCCGCAATCGAATAGCCAGGCGAGATTGTTGAAAAAAAGTCCATTCACTGGGCCATCTGTCATACAGACAACTCAGAAGAGATTGTGAGTAGATTTTGGTTGGATGAAACATGATAACTTTACGTGGGACATGCAATAATTTCTCTTTCAAAACCACCTCTATTATTGGCGTGGGGGAGTAAAATTGGGAACATGCAATACGCAGTGTAGTAGTTGTCAAGGAAGCTGTCTCATTGGCCAACCATAACTCACATACCAAATAATTCGCTTCGTTCTCTAGCATCTCCATCTCAATTCTCAGCTCCCATACCTTGTTTTTTGTTTGAAACTGTTACCGAAAGAGATGGGTAAGATTCGAACCCGTGATTTAACAATTCAACTGCAAGTTATAGAGTCATTAGGCAACCGTTAATCCTCCGTCAGCTCTCATACAATCTTAATGATTCTCAATCTCTCTCTCTCTCGCACACGTGCTAATATCATAAAGTAATAAATGGAGACGGGCTTTTGTATGGCTTATTTGGCAAATTTAAGGTAAAAGAGGTAATGTACATGAACTCAAATTCAACCAAGTTTATTCCACTTGGAGAGCCTACAAGCCTCAGTGATTACATCTCTCATTATTCACTGGTACTCATCACCATCATGCATTTGTTCTCACTAGTAAAGAATCAGCTATTGGCAATCCCCAAAATAACCACAAAATTTTTTTTTAATTAATTAAAGAAAGAAAGAGGAGGAGCAAACGGAGTGCCTCATAGCACACCTTTGAATAGATGTGATTATTGTACAGCCTCTATGATTGTATAGGATTTTTGGGGAAACAACTGAAGAGAGCCTTACAAACTTACATATCCACAGCATCAACTAGTAGGGATGTTGTCCTGTGAATAGTGTTTGGAAGTAATGAACAACTGTAGAAACTCTTGGTAGTAACCATGTCTTCTTCATTAGAAGACTCCTTGCTCACCTCGCATTTTCGGGCCCTTAGGGTTACCGAACCGGGGCAGCTCTTCTTAATGTTTGAAATCAGAGAAGATGAAATCTCACTGTTATTACCATCGGTAGATGACAAAAGAAGATTTCGAGATTTTGGAACTAGTTCTAACTGGTGATGTCTAAGTTCCATCAATTCCATCTGGTACTTTGCTCTAAGCCATCTCAATTGATGCTGAATTTCATGCTCATACTCATCTGAGAGGTCAGAAGTCACTGCCAAAGAATGGGAACCTGATAAAGATATAATGGTTCTTGGACTGAGTGAATTTTTGGTTTCCCTTCCCATTGCTTTTTCACCCTTCGTTGATATTGCTTGGTCCACTTTTTCATGCTCTTCAATAGAGTGGCTCTGCCCAGAGCCTAGAGAACTGCATTCATGGCTTACGTGCTTTTCGCAAATTTCTGCATGATGGAAACCAGTAGCTTGGCTTAATCGAACTTGATTAATTGCACCATCTAAAACTCGGTGCTGAGGATTATCAACTTCATATGTGATCTCTTCAAATCGGCCATGCACAGCAGCACATCCATTTTTAGAGCAATGCAAAATTTGCAAATTCTTGGTACTGGGATTATGTGAAAGAAAAGCCGTGAACGAACCATTAGAGGTACGGTTGGAAGCACAATTCTCACAAAAGCTCACGTTTGCAAGGCGTGGGTTTTCTTCTATTCCTGGCCCAAGTTTCCATTCAGGCACGAATGAAGCAATCTCGCCATCAATCATATCAGCTATTTTAGTGACATCTTGATCAGTGATATCGAGCTCTGCAACCATTTCGGTTGCAACACTCAATGCTGTATCAGAATCGATGTCAAATGGGAAATAGATGTTTCGGATGTGACCTGCAAGGAGATGATGCACAATGCTACTTTTGAGATCAACCAGTAAGGGGAAGCAAACAATTCATGGAAGTGATATTCAAGATATCATGTATTATTATTCTGACCTTCTTTATCAGCAATTCTGAGTCTCAAAAATATGCTTCCATCTTCTCTCCTATTCCCCTTGATGGTTATGTCAATTTGTGCAGGATTTCCAGCATGATCGTCATCATTGTACTCAAACAGTTCAATTCCACTTTGCTCAATCTCGTTGGTATGATATCCCCATCTATTTGGGTCTTTAATGTTGTTTGGATGATACCTCCATCCATCTTCTTCCGCAATCTCATTTGAATGATATCCCCATCCATTTTCATCTTCAAAAGCATAACCATTAGAGTAGCTATTGAAAGGGCCGTTATTAAATATATCTCGTTCATAATGTTGTTCAGGAAAAGTCCGTTGGGGGTGTATGTAATCTATTTCTTTCCAGCATTCGGTCGGTCCTAAACCATTCTTACAGTCATCAACTTGGAGAAAAGGGTCATTCAAAAGCTCCCTAGCGGAAAGCCTTAGAGACACAGTGGCCAAGCATTTCTCAACGAATTGACGTACCTCTGGATCATTCACTTTGTTTAAAGCATCTGGCTTTTTCCCCTAAAACATCAAATGTCATTCGAGACAAATCGAAGGGGGGGAGGTGGACGGGATGAGGCTGTCCGAAAAGGAGAACTTACAGAGATTACTTTCTTGTAAATCTGAGCAGGATGAGTGCATTCACTATATGGATATTCAAATGTGACCATTTCCAAGACGCACATTCCAAATGAATAGATGTCAACCAATTCATTGTATTCCTCTTCATACACTTCTGGAGCCATGAATTCTGGTGTCCCTAATTGAAAGAAAACCCAAAAATACATAAACGTCCCCAAGTTCTACAAATCCATGACTACCCACAATGTTTTCAAAACAGGTAACATGAATTCCTCCGTAATATTATTACTCGGTTAATTTGCAGTTCTCTTATAACTAAATAAACTTACCCAAGTTCTAACAATGCATACATAACTACCTACAAAATTTTCAAAACAGGTAAGGAATGTTTAACATGAATTCTTCCGTAATATTGTATTTCAGTTAATTTGCAGTTACTTTTCTAGCTAAATAAACTTCCCCAAGTTCTACAAACCCATACCTATCCACAAAATTCTGAAAACATGTCTGGAATGGTTAGCATGAATTACTCAAGAATATTATAGCTCGGTTAATTTGCAGTTCCTGGAGTGAATTTGCAAAGTAAAGGGGTTTTGAATAAGCTGAAGTTTACCAACACAATGAGCAGCATGTGATTTCCGGAGGATAGCTGCAAGGCCCAGATCGCCAATTTTCACTTCCCCTTGGTTCCCGTTGACAAAGATATTATCACATTTGAGATCTCTGTGGATCACAGGAGGGTCATGGCTATGGAGGTAGAGAAGCCCTCTCAAGATCTGTCTACACCAATGCTTCACAGCTCTAATATTAACTCTCTTGTGCTTTTGCCTGTACCTATCAAACCGAAAAATCGAAGAGAACCCAGATAAAAAAACTTCCCTCAAAATAAAATCAACAGGAAAGCAAGGAATTAATTATAAAAACCTGAAATATTCTTGGTACTTACTGCCTTAATGTCCCAGAAGTGAATAATTCAGTTACAAAATTGATGTTCCTATTAGCAGTATCAACCCAGGATGTGTAGAACTTCATAATGTTTTGATGCTTCAATGTTTTGAGTAGATGAATTTCACAGTAAAGCCTCTCAAGATCTTCAGGGCTTTGCAGAAAATCATAAAGTTTGACCTGGTTCCAAGCAACTTCAATTCCTTCATATTCATCAAAGGCTCTGTAACTGCATCAATCAACAGATAAGACAGACCAAATCAGAATGACAAATCTACCACAAACCTTTTGCGAAATGATCTTAAAACATTCGGAAAGATTAAATCCCTTGAAGAAAAGTCCATTGGAATTCACAAATCTATAGGATACCCAGTTGTGAGAACTTATTGGAAAACCCAAGAAACGTCTATTTCTCGCCAAATTCTACTAAATACCCATTTCCCATAAAGCTCTGAAAAACCCCAAAAAAACTTCAAATTTGAATAAATCTTAAATGGGTATGCAGAAATTCAGGGAGAAGGTGAAGTTCAATTCATACACTGTCTTTGAAGCTCCTTTGCCCAGGATTTCATTGTACTGCCACAAAAATTAGAACCCAAAAAATAAGAATCACAGCTGAAAGCTAGAGAGAGAGAGAGAGAGAGAGAGAGAGAGAGAGAGAGAGATGTTTTACTCTGCCATATCTTCCAGTTGGATCAACCTCAACAAACTCAAGGTAATCTTGTTCAAGATGTGTAACGCCATTCATCCTCTAAATTTGTTTATCTGCGATCTCTTTCCTTTTGTTACTTAATGTTTCTCTTTCTCCATAATAATTTCCGTTTTCCCTCTGGCTCCGACACCTAGGAAGCGGTATTGAGAAAGATGATACATATACATCATCAAAATATACATCTCTTTGCACCTTTATGAGTAAGAAGGAGAAACGGATAGGTAAGTGAGTTCATCTAGGGACATTAGGACAAAAGTTTACAGCTCGACCACATTTCTGAGAGAGAGCTTTACAGGGCCACCCACCCTACAACGACAAATGACAAAACAAGAGAGACAGAGAGATGAATCAAGGCCTGCAAGGTTGGGTCAAATTTAATAATAATGACTGGGCAAGGGTTGAGTCTCAAATCATGACTTTGAAGTTGAATTTGTTGATCAAAAAATAAAAAACCAGGACGTCGACTTTGCTTGCATGGTCGCTTTTGTACGGTAGATGGGTACGGGTTAAACACCTTTTTTTAGGCCCACTTTCTACGTCACTTTATTTTACTCTCAACAAACTCAATACTTTCTACCTTTCTTTTTCTCTCTCTCTCTTTCTTTCATATTATTCATTTCAATGGTTAAATGAATTAACACAATCGCTACAAGTTATGGAACGTTTCAAGATAATTCTAAACTTGTTAAAATAATTTTTTTTTCATTTTCTATAATAGATAGAGTTAAACAATGACTAAATTTTTTAAAAATTCTTTCAATACCTGATTGGTGGGCACTACAAAATAAATTTTTCAAAAAAAATTTTCTTCTACACTGTACTAATGCATTGAAAAGACAAATTATGAATTTTTCAGTCGAAGAAGGGGAAACTTTTTATCAAAGTTGGGAGAAATTCAAGGATCAACTCCAGTCATGTCCTTACCATGCTTTTGAGCATTGGACTTTGGTAGGATTTTTTTATGACTCCTTGTCCACTAGACTATGTTAGTTTGTCGAAATGATGGCTCAAGGAGAGTTTATGAGCAAAAGTCCGAAGGAGACATTCAATTTCTTTGACACCATATCTGATAGTTCTCAGATGTGGGACTCAGCCTCCCCTGCCATTGTTGAAGCTAAACCATTTACTTCCCAAGGGGGTAAGTATGTCTTAAAAGATGACGATGACCTAAGAGTAAAAATGTTCACCCTGTCTTGAAAGCTTGAAGCTTTAGAGATGAAAAATATTCATCAAGTTGATGTTAGCTCTTCCACAAAACAAGTGTGTGGGATCTGTGCGCTGACAGGACACCCTACTGGTGAGTGTCTTACCATTCCGACATTCAAGGAGATTCTGTTGGAACAAACAAATCTTGTCTCCAACTTCAACAAGCTTTACTTTAACCCATACTCTGAAACATACAATCCAGGGTGGTAAAATCACCCAAACTTCAATTGGAGGAACACACAGCCAACTCCCATAAACTAACAAGGTTCGCACACACCACCTCAAGGACCTCCCGCATATCAAGCATACAAACCACCACAAAAGAGGAAACCTTGAGGATACACTGAATCAGTTTATGCACAGTCAAATGAACTACAACAATAGTTCCACTCAGGCTTTTACTGATTTCAAAACACACACCACTTAATCTTTCGAGGATCTTAAAAGTCACATCCAAAAGTTGACGCAATCCATGACCACATATGAGAAGGACAAGTTTCCTGCCCAACCAAAACTACCACAAGGCTAATTTCAGGTGAAAAATCTTGCAATCATGGAAATTTCACGACCCCAAGCCCGAGCCCAAGTTGTCACTACACTAAGAAGTGGCAAGTTGATTGGTAAGACAATCAAATGCATGCTACTTTCAAAGTCAAAGCCTAAGTCAATCTCAGTCACTCTACCAATTGAGACTAAAACAATTGAGGCTGAATGTGAGAAAGATGAGGAACCCGAGCCCATGATTGAATAAGAACTAGAGCCATCAAGGGAAGAAGAACTCTTGTGTTCTATTCCTGCTCCTTTCCTCATAGACTCAAAACTACACAGAAGTTGAATAATCAGCTAGAAATTTACGAGCTCTTCAATCAAGTAAAAATTAACATCCCACTTCTAGATGCAATTAAACAGGTTCCATCTTATGCCAAATTTTTGAAAGACTTGTGCACTGTCAAGAGAAGCCAAAATGTTCAAAAAAGAGCCTTCCTGAAAGAACATGTCAGTGTCTTGCTTTAACACAAAACCCCTCCAAAATACAAAGATCTAGGGTATCCGACTGTGTCATGTGTCATTGAAAATTTCAGAATCGAACAAGCACTGTTAGACCTTTGAGCAAGTGTCAATTTGCTCCCATTCTCTGTTTACCAGCAGTTGGATCTGAGAGAACTCAAACCCACAAACGTCACACTTCAGTTGGCAAACAGGTCTGTCAAAATTACTAGGGGCATTATTGAAGATGTACTTGTCCAAGTGGACAATTTTGTGTTCCCTGTTGACTTCATCGTCCTCGATACTCAGCCAGCAAGATATTTAGAGAACCTAATTCCTGTTATTCTTGCTCGACCCTACCTAGCAACTTCAAATGTACTAATCAATTGCAGGAATGGGGGTTATGAAATTAACCTTTGGGAATATGGCTCTTGAGTTGAATATTTTTAATGTTGCCAAACACCTAGGAGAGGACAAAGAAAAAAGAGAAATAAATTCCACCGAGTCTTTGGTCCAAGACCATCTAAATAACACATTCTGTGAAAATTCCACTAAACTTTCTTTATCAGAATCTATCACATCTGAAACAACAGATGATGATCCAAAGAATTGCCCGACTCATGCTATTGATACATGGACCCCCAAATTCGTGGAACTTTCACCAAGTGGCACAAAGTCACTCTCATCCAATGTCAAGCCACTAAAGTTTGAATTGAAACCTCTCTTATTTGATCTCAAATATGCGTTCCTAGGAGAGGACGAGTCATACCCAGTGGTAATATCATCTAAGCTTTCAGACTTGCAAGAGTCTAAGCTAATTAAAGTTCTTAAAAGCCACAAAAGCACCATTGGGTGGACCATCACTGATTCGAAAGGTATAAGCCTGTTAATCTGCAATCATGCTATATACCTGGAAGAGGACTCAAAACCCTTTCGTCAAATGCAGCAACGACTGAACTCGCACATGAAAGAAGTTGTAAAGGTAGAGGTGCTAAAGCTCTTAGATGTCGGGATAATCTTCCTCATCTCCGATAGCAAATGTATTAGTCCAACCCAAGTTGTGCCTAAAAAGTCTGGAGTCACAGTGGTCAAAAATGATGCAAATGAACTAGTACCTACTCGAGTCGTCACAGGATGGCGGATGTGTATTGACTATCGAAAACTCAATTTGGTGACTAGAAAAGACCACTTTCCTCTTCCATTTCTTGACCAGGTTCTAAAGAGAATTGCAGTCTATGAATATTATTGTTTTCGAGATGGGTATTTCTTAATCAAATTGAGATAGCACTCAATGATCAACAGAAAATCACATTTATATGCCCCTTTGACACTTTTACATTCAAAAGGATGTCATTCGGACTCTATAACATTCCAAAATGAATGTTGAGTCTGTTCAGTGACATGGTCGAGAAATTTTTGAAAGTGTTAACGGATGACTTCTTTGTGTATGGTGACTCATTTAATTTGTGTCTGGCCAACCTAGAAAAAGTGTTGATAAGATGTCAAGAAGCTAATCTGGTACTTAATTGGAAGAAATGTCATTTCATGGTAACACAAGACATTGTCTTAGGTCACATTGTGTCGTTTGATGGTATGAAAGTTGACAAGGAAAAATAGATCTGATTGAGAATTTGCCTGATCCCAAGACTGTGAAAGATGTTCGATCATTTATGGGACATGCAGGATTTTATAGGAGATTCATAAAAGATTTTGGTACCATAGCAAAACTCATGTGTCATCTCCTGAGTCAAGATGTAATCTTTGATTGGAGTGAAACGTGCCAAAAAGCTTTTGACAAGCTTAAAGACATGTGAATTTCCACCCCAATAATGCAATCCCCTGACTAGACTCTATCCTTTGAGCTAATGTGTGATGCAAGTGACTATGTTGTAGATGCTGTGTTGGGACAATGAAAAGATGAGAAACCACATGTGATTTACTATGCAAGTAAACTTTGAATGATGCTCACATGAATTATTCGACAACTGAAAAAGAATTACTTGTCGTAGTCTTTGCTTTGGAAAAATTTCGTTCTTATCTTGTGGCTTCTTTTGTTACTGTATTCACTGATCATGCAGCACTGAAATTTTTGCTCACAAAAAAGATACTAAACCAAGGCTCTTGCGATGGATACTCTTACTTCAAGAGTTTGACTTGGTCATTAAGGACAAAAATGGTGTTGAGAATGTGGTGGTGGACCATCTGTCCAGGTTAACTTATGAATTTCATGAGGATGGAATGCCAATCAATGAAAATTCTTCGATGAACAACTGTTCATAATTGATGAGACCCCATGGTACGCTGATATTGCTAATTTTCTTGTTACTGGAACACTGCATTCATCCTTTTTTCCCACGAACAAAAAAAAATTCTGAGAGAGGTTCGTAACTTTTTTGGGAAGATCCGTATGTATTTAAGTACTCTAAGGATCAATCATAAGACGTT